AGTTAAAAGTTGACGATCCTAATAATTATACGTTTGTCAATTTACTAAGATTACGTGTGATTTCATGAAGAAGTCACTCTCAAATGTCTCATGTTATTATTTTTTTTTAATTTAAATACGGAGTCCAATCAACGAAATTAAAAGTTTTTCTAACAAAATTTAGAATTTTGTATTGAAGCCAAATTTTTTTTACTCTTTAAGTTGTGTGGCCCAATAACAAGTAAGACAATAATAAAGGGGTTGGATCGGATAATACTTTGAAGAATGTGTTTGGCTTAATTATGGCCCAAATTAAAACAACTAATCAAACTTTGAAGTGTATGTTGTTATTAGGGTTTAGGTTTGGAACACAAGTTTCACTTTTAACTTGAGCAACCACTTTCACCTGACAGGTCCTGACTATTAATCCAATCTATCTAGTGACTTGATTGTATCGTTTCTTCCTTTAGATCGTGGATCTATATATCACTAATTATCTCTTTATACTCTTTAGCATATACTATCATAAGATTAAAGATTATTGACTATGTTTCATGTCCGTAAGACTTGAGATGATCATTGCAAACTTTTTGACAACTATGATACCAAAACTCGAATTGGCTACACACAACAACAACAAAAAACAATATAGAAGGGAAAAAAATTAAATAGAAAAGAGAACATGTGAAAACAAAGACTTATTAAAAGTCCAACACTAATAAGTCTTTCTCTAATATTTTTTGAGGAATATAATTATATCACTAAGTCTTTTTCTAATTGCTTTAACAATTCCATTTTCCTCTATTTATGCATATCTCAATCCTTCTGGTTTCCATACATATGATATATACACAAGTTTAAGCTAAAGTCAACGAAATTTCTGTTTTATCACACAAAAGTTTCTGAATAAAAAAATCAATCATGATGCAAATTCTAAGAGAGGAGGCTCCTTCAAGCTATTTGATGAAGATGGTTGGTTTCTCTGAGGTCAAATTAAGCCATCACCCTTACGAATCTGCTGCTTTCGATGCTTCTGGTCATAAATGGTATAAGTCAACCAAATCTATGA